GGTTTAGGGCCTTAGGGTCTAGGGTTTAGGGTTTAGGGTTTAAGGTTTAGGGTTTGGGGTTTGGGGTTTAGGGTTTAGGGTTTAGGGTTTAGGCTGACAATCTGCTACAACTTACAATAACACTGTATGGGTAGTTCTCGAAACTCGGGTCCCGATATAGTACTGCACCCTTGTAAAAGCGATCCTAAAAGAGACCCTTGTTTAGAAAACTACCCTGATAGTATACTAGAATTTACACTGATGTTTCGTTACTTTATAGCATATTTAGGTACAGCCAATGTACTACACCATAGGTTAATGTACTATAATATATCGTACTATTTCAGAGAACTACCCATATGCCTAGGCAGAAGAGGTACTTTCAAGCCCGGGAGCTTAAAACTACTGTTATTGAGTCTCACAACTCATGCTATAATCTGTCTAAAGGACCTTCAGCGGGACCCAAACCTGGAGAACTCCCTATGTGCGGCAACCCTGAACCCTAAACCCTAAAGCCTAAACGCTAAAGCCTAAACCCTAAACCCAAGGTTCCCTGGCATCCAGGAAAAGTTCGAAGAGCACGATGAGGCTGGGCAAACTCCGAGTCTCCAATGCGGTTTTTGCATTTAGGATCATTTAGGGCTTATAGGGTTTAGGGTTTAGTGTTTAGGGTTCATAGGCTTGAGGGTGTATATATTTTGCCCTGAGGTTACGCTGTTTAGGTTATATATATTTTTTGTGTTCTCCTAGTGCGTTCTTGAGCTTCTTCTTCCTCAAAACCGAGAATCGGAAAACGGTAGGCCCGGGAGGCTTTTCACGGGATACAAGTGAGTATTTTGGGGATTCATGGGGATTCAAGAGGAGGCCTATGTAACTATGAAAGTCTGTCAGAGTTTGAGTCAACGGCCCCTTGCAGTCGCAGTCCTTGGTAATTAACGCAACACCAGTCCATAGTGGACCAAATTTCTTCTTGAGCCCTGTCACAAAAACCTACCTGAACCCGAAACCCCAAACCTCAAAGACCTGAAGCCCTGAGACCTTAAATCGAAATAGGAGTTTTAGAAACACCTGAATCCGAATCTAAGCTAGAGCGCAAAAAGATGGTCCTCCGCATAAGGACTATAAGCCCTAAACCTTAAGCCCAAAGCCCTAGACCCTAAGCCCTAAGCCCTAACCCCTAGATCCCAAGAGCCTGAAGCCCCCAGAGCCGACGCGACCTTAAGGACGAAGTGAACCCTATTAGGGTTTAGGGTTTAGGGTTTAGGGTTTGGGTTTAGTATAAGGCTCATACGGTTGATGAGATAAATCCTACATTACGCGGGGTTTTAGGGTTCAGGATTTAGGAGGGTCTAGGGTTTAGGGTTGATGAGATAAATCTTACATTACCGATCATAAGGCATACACCATAGTTGCCATAGATTAGGGTCCTTAAAATAATGCAGGATTTATATCATCAACAGTATGAATATACCCTGTTGCCATATAGGCACTCATTGTACTTCCCCCTAAATCAAAGAGTCCAATATAAGGTTCATATCTATATACCAAACTTTATAGTATGAGGGAGTTCGGGCCCCTGCTTACAAGGGTCGTCTGGTCCCCAAGGGATTGACCCCGACATTCTGAAAGCCACGTAATCCGTAAGCCGGCAAGTTGTGTTGTACTGTAGAGCGTTCGCGGGAAGCTTCCAGAACACATCTGCTCTTATTGGGCGTGGGTAGAAGGCACCTCGTTTAGGGCTTAGCCGCTTAGCGCCTAAGGGGTTTATGGTTTTTTGTCTGTTCGTACATCAACAGCCCGAAGAAGCCCAAAAGCCTCATACAGCTTGGTCTTTGGGCCGAAAAGCCTGAAAACATGAGTCCTCAGAGGTGTCGGGGTCGTACTTAGAGGTTCTGGGGTTCGGGTTCTGAGGGCTTCTGGGCGCTGTGGCTCAAGTCCTGAGCTCTTCCCGACTCCCCAGAGCGAGGCTGTCAGTCTGCAACAGGGGCCCGAGGAATTAGAAAATGGTTCAGGGTTTAGGGTCGTAGCCCCCAATATAATCTAGTAGAATAATTAGGGCTGAAGTTCTAGAATCGTAGACCGTATAAGCCCTAAACCCTCACCCTCAGCCAGTCTAAACCGACGTTGTGGCATCCTGACTGCGCGAGGCTGACATCAAGCAGACAAAGAAGACCCGTGAGTCTCGATTAGAGTTTCATTTAAGCCTTCAGAAGGGCCTCACTTGTTTCGAAGCTCTGGCTCCATGGCAGCCGCGGCTTCGTAGTTGCAGCCAATGATCAGCGTATTCTTTGGCTCTGCTTTGCAGAGTTTTATTAATGCTTGCATGTGCCGAGAGTGCACTGGTTTGCGACACTGTTTTAAGGGTTTGGTGCTCCCTAATGCCCTAGACCAAAACTCTAAACCAAAGCCCGTTAAGGAAACCTTAGATGATCTCATGAGGGAACCCACAAAACCCAAAGGAGATGGAGCTCGCACTTCGGATCGCGACGACACGGGAAAGACTCCTCTGGGTGGCGGCGTACTATGCCTTCGTACCTTTGGCCTTTTCAGGGTCTATATAAACGGTTCCTTTAAGGGCTTGGGTTTCCTTCAGGATTTACGGTTTCTTGAAAGTTGAATAGGTTTAAGCGGCATACTCTGGTTTCGTTTTCTGATCGGGGCTTGATGTTGAAGAAGGACAGTTCTTCTCACACAGTATAATGCTGCTAGCCTCTCCATGTTTGCTTTTCGGAGTCATATACCCCCCAGTTAAGGGGCCAGAGAGGGTCCTGGTTTATGTTGTTTAGCAAAGTACCACGCCGTACCCCAGCACCCTGCCTGCCTACGTCTTGCACTGCAATTCGCTGAGGTGGGGGGTGTGTCCCTGGCTCGGAGTGCCACCCTGCGATGGCAGGGGGTTAGGCTGCAGCTTGTTCGAAGTTAGACGAGGCCAGACCGGGTTCAGCATGGTAAAATATAGTAAAATGTAGCAAACCTGGCCGTAAAAGGTGTGGGCAATGCTGCATGCAACTGCCATGAAGGGGTCGTGGGCTTGCGAAATTTAGGCACTGGGACAATGCCTTCTTGCCCTTGAACATTACGCTCCTCGCCTGAGATACGTGTTGGTTTTACCCCCATCCCTAAACCTATGGTTCCTTGATCATATGCAGCCTTTTGCGTGCGGTCTCTTGCTTTCGAATGCCATGCTGTTCTCTCATGTTTGCCAGTTGGGTGCCACGAAAGTGACGCCATGTGGTCGATCCGTGTTGCGCATCAGAACACTCTCGAACTCCCTAAATCCGAAACTGCAGGTTCTTCTGCATGCCGCCCTTCCTCTTCACCTACCAACTAGATCTGGCATTAGCACCGGCAGAGCTCTGGGGGCTGCAGGTTGGCGGAGCCTTGTCAACCAATCAACATGTGCGAGGGTAGAGTTGCGGGTTTTGAGGGCTCGGGGTTAGGGGGTTTGAGGGCTTTTGGGGGGTTTCAGATCAAAAGGGTTCAGGGTTTGCGGCTTCAGGGGTTTTGGGTTTAAGTTTTTCGGGCTTGATTTGGTTTTTTGTTGCTAGTGATCTTGTCCTAGCCTAGTTTGTTTGCATCTTGGCTCGAATGGCATACGCGCACTGGCTTCATGTTGATATCCCACTTTTTTCCTTTCCAAAAATTATTAAACAAAAGTGTTGAAGCGCAGGAAAGGCCAACCGCATTGCGGAGGAAGCGCTGGCAATTCGAGAAGGGCGCAGACATCGATGGTTCAGCTGCCCCTACTTGCCGGAAGTAGACGAATCCTGGCTTCAGGTGCGATCTTGAATCGAAGTACCCGAGGGCTCTAGTTGCCCAATAGTAGGCTACTAACCATATAATATGCAACCCGTAGCCTATCATTCAGGTAACTGGAGCCCTAGAAGTAGATCGAGGAGTATCGGAACTTGGAAAGGGCTCCAGTGCCCGTCATTACAATCTTCTCTTCTTTGCGGGGACTGGCGTTCTTAGAGCTTACCCATAGGCTCCTTGGTAGTTCCTTTTTGGGATTCCCTTATAGGATTCTAAATATAAACCACAAGGAACTACTTAGGAGCCTATGAGTAGTGGTTTCAGACTTCGCAGTGAAGCTCGGAGAACGGCTCTGTTGGCAACTTGCGGGGTTTGCGAGCTCGCCTCCGCCCAGCCCAACCCTAACTGACCCCTAAACCCTAAACCCTAAACCCCTGAACCCTATAAACCCGAAGCCCTAAATCCTATAACCCCTAAGCTCTATAAAAAATAAAGCCCTAAACCCAGGCATCTGGGTGGATCTGGGTGGGATTTTTTAGTGCTTGCACCGTTGCCTGCCCAATATGGGCTTCGAAGCTCCAGAGACGAAAAGGGCCCCTTAAAAAAAAAAACCTAAACCCTCAACCCTAGAGCCCTAAACGCCTGAACTAAGGACGCCACGCTTTGGGTTCACAAGCCGGTTTGCTTGCCCGTGGTTTTCGAGCACGCCTACCACCGAGAACGGGCACTGAGCAATAAAGCACGGGAAGCCAAAGGGCGCCCCGGCTCTGAACTGTTCAGAACTGTTTCCCGGTTTAGGGTTTTAGGGTTTAGGGTTTAAGGTTTTAGGGTTTAAGGTTTTTAAGGGCTTAGGGTTTAGGGGTTTAGGGTTTTTTCGGCTTTGGCTATACTCTCAGCTCATCATAGCTGTTCAGAACTGTTTCAGCTTCTGTCGATTTCCAAAAACGTAGCGTTGACTTTACCGTAAAACTCTTGTGCTGCTTCTTAAGTTGCTCATTTGGTTGAGTGATGTTTTCTTTTCTGAAATATAGAGCCCCCTAAGCCCTGCAAACCCTAAACCCATTAAGTCGTTAAGGTGTTTCCTTGTTCATTTATGGTTTGTTGTTCTGCGGATCTCCAACAGAAGCCTGTTGGTTGCTTCTCTAAGGGTTTAGGGCTTTAGGGTTTAGCGTTTAGTGTGGAGTTTAGGGTTTGTAGGGCTTAGGGTTTAGGGTTTTGGGGCTCAGGGTTTTCCTTTCTTGCTTTACACCGCGTGGTGACATGGTGATGTCATTGTATGCCGACTTTGCATTATACGACATTGCTTTTCTTCGCCCTGGGTTTCTACTGCACTACACTGCCCTGTATGTCAGAAGCTCCGGTTTGGTAGTCCAGGAAAACGGGTCCTCGACCGAATGTTTCTCGGTTTTGGGTTTGGTACTGGTGATTGCCCGGACAGAAGCCAAGACTGCCGTGTCATCGAATGGTGCATCAGGACTGTATGGCCAGTTCCTGCTGGACAAAAACAGGGCCATAGCAGTAACCACTCAAGATTGCGATCCATACAGAGTACAACTCCAAGTTTTCCGGACAAATCCGAACCCCAAAGCCTTCGCACTGGCGGCCCACCCAGGCTTTCTCCAGAGCCTGATTGGGCATACTTTCAGCAGCGATGCGAGTAAAAAGCTGTCTCGGTTTGGAATTCACCTGTTTAGGATTGTACCTAAACCCTAAACCCTACACCTTAAACCCCTAAACCCCAAACCGCTAAGCACAGCCCTAAACCCTACACCTTAAACCCCTAAACCCTAAACCGCTAAGCACAGCCCTAAACCCTAAACCGCTAGGCACAGCCCTAAACCCTACACCTTAAACCCCTAAACCCTAAACCGCTAAGCACAGCCCTAAACCCTAAACCGCTAAGCACAGCCCTAAACCCTACACCTTAAACCCCTAAACCCTAACCCGCTAAGCACTGGTCCTCTGTGGACAGCCAGACTCACCTGCTGAACCCAGAGGCCCCTAAGACAGAAGAAGCCTGGTACGCTGGAGACCTGTGAGTTTTAGCCTGACAAGTCTTGCGACAATAGGGTTTAAGGTTTAGGGTTTAGGGGTTTAGGGTTTAGGGACAATAGGGTTTTAGGGTTTAGGGTTGAGGGCAATCACCATGATTACATTCATTTAGGGTTCATCATTGTGTGGCTTTCTAAATTAGAGTCCCCTGTAGGGTCCTTATTATAATGGTGCCGTACAACATAGGGGGCCTGAAAAGGGATCCAGCAATTTGGAGTCCTACCCATTTGCTTGCTGCGACCTTTGCTATTATTACTACAACCGCCTGAAGCTGAGACCTCCGTCTCGAAGCATTGAAAGGGTTTAGGGTTTAGGGTGTAGGGCTGGAACGGAGGCATGTTCGTTTAGGATTTAGAGTTCAGGGTTCTAGGGTGTAGGAATGGGGGCATGTAAAGTCGTATCTTTGTATATTGTCGCAGGCCCAAGAATGGCAGTCCATGTTACAAAGGTCGTATCTTTGTATACGTCTCTCGCCCAAGGCTGCTAGTCGGGCCGATGTATTGCCTTAGGACTTACACAGAGGAACTGCTTGTTCTAGTATGCAGATGGCAATGCCGAAGAGCTGAGTTTTTGTTGATGCGCTGCGGAGGGTTTGAAAATTACTTTCTTTTGACATTGACGAAGGGAGGTTTACATTATGCACCGCCACATTCCAAAATTAGTCTGTCTCACTATCCCTTGTAACACGAGGCTATGCCAGTTGCTAAGCCTACACCGGTTATACTGAGCTTGCTATAAGGTTGCCCCTTTGCTTGCCCGGCCAAGCCTTCGTATAGTTCTGGAAGTTGCACGATGCAGAAGCTTCCACAAGACCCGCTCCAGTAGCAGCCAGTCCAAAGCAATGCACGAAAGCACGGCAGAGGCGCAGTGGTAGACACCGCACACAGCATGAGCAAATCGGGACATGTTCAAGGCGCAATGCGACATGCAGTTTGATGTGTGTCGTGATGCAGGGGTGCTCCACTGCATCTAGAAAGAGCCTGCTTCTTTTGCTTGGCACCTGCACGGAATGGCTTCTAAAGATGATGCGCTGACCTGCAACAGCCACGCGGACTTCACCCGGAATTTCTTCAGTTGCTTGAACAGACCGTAGGTGGGGGGGGCAACAACATGAGCTACACATGAACCAAGTAAAGAGGAATATGATTCAGACTGCGCACTGTGCTGCGGACTGCCCGACCTTCCTGCAGCGACTACCCGGTAAGAGTGCCGCATCGTTCCAGAGGTTTAGGGTTTAGGGTTTAGGGTTATTTCCACCAGCCCTGTCTGACTTAAATGCTTGAACCGTGCATGTACGTTCGTCACTTTTCATCTCCTGCTGCTTGGACATGCGTCTTACCCTTGATTCGCTGTTATTTCGTTGGCGTGGATGTTGTACCTCTTCAGGCTGGTAGGATTTATTGCTCCAGGTGATGGCTCAGATTCAGACGGAGCATGCGAGACAAGCAGGCATCCGCACTCTTTTGGTTGTGCAGTCGGGTTCTAGGCTTGTTTCCGTGAGCCCTAAACCCGAAATCCTAAACTCTAAACCCTAAACCCTAGACCCTAAAGCCCTAAACCCTAAACCCGACTTCCTAAACTGAAGTGCAGTATGCATCCCAACGCTGAACCTTGTGAAGCACAAGGGTGGTTCTCTAAATTAGGGTCCCGTTTAGGGGCCTTGAGAACTAGAAGAAGGTTCCCTTTAAAGGGCTCCTATAAAGGATTCTCTATAAGGGTGACTATAGGTTCCAGAGTATGGGTAGTTCTCTAAAAATTAGGGTCCCTTTTAAGGTCCCCAAAATAGTACGGCGCCCGTACAAAGAGGACCCTAAAAAGGGACACTAATTCAGAGAACTACCCACAATCAGAATCCACTCACCGAAAGAGTTGTGGCTAGTTGTCTGCAAAGCTTGATATTGTTGTGCTTTGTTCGTTCCTGTCTCGATCTTTGCCTCCATTACCGGGGCTTTAGCCCGAATCACTACAGAAATCTCGAAGTCCAACTGAAAGCCTTCATTGTTGCTGCTGGACAGGTGTGGCTTGGCTGAGTGGTTGGCCATGCTGCGGCAAGAGTTCGGGGCGCGGCTGCTTTTCCTCCTGCTTCTTGCTTCTGAAGATTGATGTAATATGTGGCTTGAGAAAAACGAAAACTATAGGCGTTTTAACAATCAGAGTTCAGCAAGGGAAACTCCTAAACCCTAAACTGGGGTTTTGGAGAGATGAGACAAGGAGCATACTAGGAAGAGTTAAGACTCCTAGAACATAGTTTCGGCTTCTTGTCTTCATCGCAACTGCGCCGCAACATCCGCCAAAGCAGGGGTCTGACTACGAAAGCCATGCGTTGAAATCCCTAGTTAAGCAAATTTGATCCACAGAAAGACCTCGGCGAAGATCCCCGGGGTTCTGAACCAGGTTCCTACGTCAAGGGGCTTAGAGCTACCAAGCTTGGCCTCAGGGCCCTAGTTTCTCCCGTCCTTATATGTATTATATGTGTATATATATATATGCATACACGCACACATATATATATATATGTGTATGTGCAGATAGAAAGATAGATGGATAGATAGATAGATAGATAGAGAAATAGGCAAACAGATAGATAGAATATATTACTACGCCGTGGCATGCTATGCTCTTTGCACACGATCAGTCCTTTCAACCCCAAATCCAAGGCCTGAGCATTAAGCCCTCTATCGCAAATCCCAAGTCTTAGCCTTGAATCCTCAAACCCAATCCCCGGCTCCCTCCAGAATGATAACCCTTACTACTATTATGTTTGTTTAGGGTTTGGGGTTAGGGTTACTATCACCATTATCATTACTATTGTGATCATTAATACTGTTCTTAGTATGAGCCTAAACCCTAAACCCTAAACCTGAGGTTCCTCCTGGTAAGGAATTCTAGCTGTACCCGCAGTTGGAAAAGGGCCCACAAAAAAAAGTCTGAGGTTCGCCATCCAGCATCTCATCAAG